CTTGGTTAGGGACGAACAAGCCGGAGCTATGTCCGGAGCCGGCAGGTACATGATTTTTGAGAGATGGGCAATCTACTTCCCTGTTACGATGGAGCCCTTCCATTGCCTTTTCGTTTGGGAGGCTCTTGATGCCTCCCTCGTCATTTTCTTACCCACCTTCGTAGCCTTCACTGCCTAAGGTTGCTTGCCAGCCATGGAGGTAGATAAATTAAATAGGAGGATAGCTTAGGGATTGCTAGGATCGAAGCACTGGTTGGCTCACATGCACAAGATCTTGAGGACGCAGATGAGAGATTGGATGATCGAGAGCGTAAACTTGGCTCTCTCTTGCCCATGGCCTTTTATAGGCATATGAGAACACGAAATGGCCGTGGGAAAAAACTGGGCCACGCGATAGTAATTTAGCTAGTTTTCCAGATGTCGTGCATGAATTCGGCTCAAGGATCAAGGAGTTGGTTCATTAAAGTACCGCATATATAGGGCACGGTCTCCCTAACTTACGAGACATGCCAATAGTGGGGCCTCAAGCCACGCTGATACGTGATGATGATCGCAGAAATGACAACATGCCACTTGGGGTGGGAAAACAGATGGAACCAGTTAAAGTTGTCAGAACATGACCTGTCCGTCATCCTGACCTTAGCGCGGGAACACTTCAAGGCTAAGAAACCGCCGCGCGGGAAAGAATTTGACCCTAGGTGCGTAACAAAGCCTCCAATAAGGACCGATGGAACCTAGATATGGCTCCTCAGATGCCCAATGTGTGAACTCTTTGGATACACCTCAGCGATCCTCGAGATCGAATACGGGGAGATTCGTTGAACCAACTTTCAAGACCGACGACTAGAAGGCAAAGAGCAGTTCCAAAGGACCGAGGAGCGTCCCTGACTTGAAGACCTATTCAGGGGCTACTAATGGTATCCTAGACTAGGGGGTACTCACCACGTCATCTCCCGGTCAGGTGGACCGGGCCGAGGGCCCTCATGATGGTTCACTGGTGGGCCAATCCACAAGACCCCAGCGTGTACAAGGAAGATTCCTGAAGACTTAGTGCATACTCTAAGGTTTAGATGTCGACTACACCACGATTTACCACACACGTAGTCGGCATATTGTAACCGTGGACCACTCGATGCCTATATAAACCAAGTGGCAGGGCACGTAGAAGGATATAGACAATCTCTTGGTAGAAACACCTATATCCTGTACTTCATCCACAATCAATACAAACAAAAGCAGGACGTAGGGTATTATCTCTTGAGAGAGCCCAAACCTGGGTAAAATCTCACGTCTACTGCTACCATCGTATCAAGGCTATCAAAACGGGACCCCCACCCAAGATTTGACAGAATCGACTCCGACAATAAGTCCATCACAGGAAATTGATATTCACATAAGATAAACGATGGTGCTGGGTATTAGTGCATTTTCACCATTAGGATGATTACGAAGGCTTCCACACTTAGCTACTTAATTCATTAGTGAACGTGTCACATCTCCATGAAATAAGCCATTCATTTCTCAACCAAGAAAATAGCATGAGGTCCTCTAATTTTATGAAAATATTTAGCATCATTTTTTTTTACTCTTTATCGGGAAGCATGTTTATTCGCCCATCTCACAATTATTCCTTTTCATGTGATATGAAGGCTAAACATACTTCTTGTTTGAGGCTTCATTTTTTTTACTGAAGTTGAGGACGATGGGATCTAGCTGACATGGGGAAGAACCTTTGTCGATGTGCCACAAAGTATGTGTTCGTCACTTGCGACTGTATGGTTTATTGGCTCGAAAAGCATTCTCGTACTCGAGCGTGTTCCTATTGATCTGAGTACGATGAAAAATTCATCCTTCTTTGGGGTTTCCTTGATAGGGAGCAGGAAGGTGGTTGATGACGTATCGGCGTGGCACAAGATTCTTCAAGAATAAAATTATAGTTTTATTTCTTGCAGAACCTTTGATGCAATATTGCAAGATATCTATGTATTTTTTTGAAAAACACTTAAATTAAGCCGGCTGATAACAAGTGAAAGCAAACCGCCACGCTCGCCTGATGCGTGTCCCCTATGGGGCCTGTCGTGGAAACAGATTTGACAGTAGAGATATGGGGTACGTAGGAGAGGGCAGAGTCTAGCTACAGCGAGGTTGTACACTCGATTTTACGAGTTCAGGCCCCTCTCGGAGGAGGTAAAAGCCCTACGTCTCGGTACCTCGGAGGCTTTGTTGATTGGAGTGTTGAGTTACAAAGAGTGCGAACCCTTGTGCCTGAGAGGAGGGGTGGCTTATATAGAGTGCGCCGACTCATTGCAGTCCTCAGTTACACAAGGGTTCAATGAGAGAATAATGTTACGCACGTTACTGGTAGCATCCGTGTTTAATGAATTTTAAGGCTACGGAGTGAATGCCCGACTGTTACCATTCGGAGGTGACTCTAGGCCTTCTGTCCTTCGAGTGAATTCTTGTCTTCCGAGTGAATAACGACGGTCAAGTGGATCTTTCGTCGAGTGGATTGCACCTGTGACGATTCCAGTCGGTATCTTCTTTCTATCTTTGTAGGCCTTGGCCTCTTGTGCAGTGTCCTTGGATAGGCCATATAGATCAGGTCTAGGACCCTACCCTAGGTACATGTCCTCGTCGGGGCCTCTCCGCCGCACAGCTCTCCTATCGTTATCTTCACGCAGAGAGCTTATCCACACATTTTCTCCAGCCTTCTTCTTCCTCTTTTCCACGCGCGAACTCTGCTCCACTGTGTTGTCCTAGGCGGCCGACACGAGCTCGCCATGGCCTCGCCTCTCCTGCTCCATTCCCACTCATCTCCTCACTTGCGTCCGCCTGCTTCATCCCGCCATGGCCACGACCACCGCCTGCTTCATCTTCATGCTTCATCTCGCGAACAGGAAGGGGGACGCCGAGCACCATCAGAGCTACAATGGAGCGTCACCGGCACTCGACGCTGACAACGGCGAGTGTCCCGGTGGGGGGGGAGGATGCAACTCCGGCGACGTTGCTTGAAGCTATTAGAGCACAGCCGGAGCTGCAATGAAGCGTCGCCGATGCTGCGATGATTGACCACGGCGAGTGGCTTGCAACTCCGGCGATGTCGAAGTGAAGCTGCAATGGAGCAATGCGAGTCCGCTGGAAACATAGCCGGCGCTGCAATGAAACCTCGACGGAGTTGCAATGGAGCTTGCTGGACGTGTCGGTGCTGCGTTCGAGCTTCGCCAGAGTTGCAATGGAGCTTCGCCGGACACATCGGTGCTGCATTAGAGCTCTGTCGGACGGCCGTCGATGCACTATATGGGCTGCAGTGGAGCTTTGCTGCGGTAGCAGCGCTGCGTTGAAGCTCTCACGCGCTTGCTACTGCCGTGGCGTTGCCTGCCATCCAACGGCCACCCCTGCGCTGATCGTACGGCTGGCTAGCCGGATGAGAAATCATCCGGCTGATTTGTAGCAGCCGCCGTATTTTTTTTATAATGACCATGTGTATACTTTGAGTTCGCAATAATCCGTTTCTCCAACGAAATATATGTG